GAGTGTAGCAGGGAAAGGAGCTATTCAGCTGGGGAGGACCCTTCTATCCTCCACATTCCTACCCAAGGGGAGACTTTGAGCTCTTATAGGATTTCTGGGACATTGAACAGGGTCATTGCAGCAGAGATCAGAAACCCATGAGACTGAGGAGAAAGTCATAGTGAGGCTACCAAGAGCTAGTCTAATTCATTTGAATCCAAAGAGTCACAAGGATGATCTGATCAACCTTGGTATGGATACGCTGTAAGAACACCCTTGTTTATTTAGTGATATTGTGTTTTAAACTGGCCCCTGATTTCAGTGTTTCTCCACCCATCACAGACTGTGTCTAAACTCATCATATGAGTAGATAAGTGCTGGGAGGGAGCAGTGTGGCTATAAATGTTGTGGGGTGGGTTAGAGTTTATGTATTGTTAATTTTGTCTTTTATTATCCTAATCTTTTTTTCCATTGTTCCCTATCCTGAGTTTCCCATACATAATAAATCCCCTGTTACTGTTTTATCACTCTAAGAATTGTGGTAGGTATTTAATTTTATTTTTTGTGCTCTGACTGACACTCCTATGTATGAGATTGGATGATGAATATTTTCCTAAGGTTCAGGCCCTCTGTGTTCACTGAACTAGGGGGCGTTTCCTTGGGTGGAGGCACTGGATGCCCTTATAGCCAAACCCAGGACCCAAATCCCTGAGGAGAAAAGGGAGAGGCTGCAGCCATGCCTCAGGATGGGGTTACAAAATGAAGGCACTGCTGGGATTCTAACTACAACAGGATTTTGATTGATAAGAAGAGTAGGGCTTGTCTACACGTACAGCGCTGTACCACTTAATGAAGATACTACCTATGCTGATGGGAGAGCTTCTTCTGTTGGCATAGATAAGGTGGTATTTTGTATCAGGTGATCTTATCACCTGACGTAGGGCTTGTCTACACTGGCAATTTACAACTCTGCAACTTTCTCGCTCAGAGGTGTGAAAAAAAAAAACCTGAGTACAGCAAGTTTCAGCACTGTAAAGTGCCAGTGTAGACAGTGCACCAGCGCTGGCAGCCACGCTCCCAGCGCTGGGAGCTATTCCCCTTGTGGAGGTGGTTTGCCGTAACTACACATGCCACGTTAAAACTGCCATGGCAGTGCTTTAATATTGCCAGTGAAGACGTGCCCTTAGTAGTATCACAGCTACGTCCCAGGATGCCTCTCAGGAAGGAGAGAGATTAGTATCTTCACAGTGTTATTGTTTCTTCTTAAATGGCTCATTCAGGATGATTGCTTACTGTCTGGTGAGCGTTTTCCCAAGTACACACACAGTTGTAATTGTTACATAGTCAATATTCCTAACTTCAAATACAGAAATGATACATGCATACAGATTGGATAATCACATTCAATAAATCATAACCTTTCCAATGATAACTTACATGAGCCATCTTGCATAAAGTATATCTTAGTTATCCCATATTCATATCATAATCATATTTCTATGAAGAATATGGGGTGTAACGCCACAGACTTGTTAACATCAGCTAAGTTTGTTGCTACAGGGCACGGATGGTTTTCAGCCTTGTCTGCTTAGGACTTCAGTCTTCAGTACGGACCCAACTTGAACAACACTGATATGGATGCTCTGGCTCAGAACAGGACACACTAGATTCTTGCCCCTGGGGTAAAGGCTGTGTGACTAACTGGGAGCCTGTCCAGAAGTTATCCCTATCACTTATGCCCATTTCACCCATCTGGTCATGACTTCTTTACTGCAGCTAAGCACGTCCACCCTGAGAAAAGCTCAAAAAACAGACCACAGTTTAAGAGACTTTATTTATGCTCTAGAGAAGGGAAAACCAGAGATGTCAGTAATCTTCTCACCAAGATGCACCCTTTCTTTTAAGATAATGGAGTAGGCTTACCCCATAAATTGTCTGTTACATTGCACAAGTCAATGTTCAACAGCCCTGAAGAAATAACTAGTGCTTCTGGTTAAGTTTAGGAGGATTGTCCTACATTCGCTCCATGAAGAAATGGGACAGCTGGGAGTGGACAAGACACTTGATTTAGTGAAATCCCAGTTCTGTTGGGGTCATGTATAGCTAATTATGAGGGAAAGCATTGCAAGGCTTGTTTTAGATGTCTACAGAGGATGACATTGCCAAAGAAATCTGCCACTTTGGTTAACGTCACCAGCAGTGAACCCCTAGATCTTTTATACATGGACTGTTTAAGTGTGGAAAGTGATACTAAGAACATGGAAACATACTTGTGATAATGGATCATTTCACCTGATACATGCAGGCTTTCACCACCAGGCACCAGAAATCCACTACTATAGCTAAGGTGTGGTGGGAAAAGTTGTTTGTACACTATAGATTACCTTGTAGAATCCATTCAGATCAAGGAACAGACTTCAAGAGTAGGTTTATTAAAGAACTATTGCAAATGGCAGCTGTGAGGAAATCCAGAACCACGCCATATCATCACCAAGCAGACCCTCAACTGGAGAGATTTAACAGAACACCATTAAACATGTTTGGGCACATTAAGACCTAATCAAAAACCCAAATGGAGTCAGCAAATCAGCTTTCTGGTGCATGCCTATAACTGTACAAAAATGAGTCTACGGGATATTGTCTGTTACTTAATATTTGGAAGAGAAGCCAGACTTCTGGTTGATTTGTGCTTCAAGGTGTCAGCTGATGGAGTTTACTTTTAGACATATCTTCAGTATGTCAATTGAATAAGAGCCGTTGAAGGAGGCCTATAAAACAGCAACAGATACCATAAGAAAATGCAGAGAATCTAACAAGGCCTGCTATGATTCCCAAATAAGAGATCATGCCCTGCAACCAGGGAATCGGATCTTAATAAGGAATTTTGGACTCCCAGGAAAACATAAAATTGCAGATTGATAGAAGGCTGACACCTCTTTCATTGTACAAAAGTTACTGGACCTACCTGTTTATAAAGTTTGGTCTGAGGATGGGAGAGAATCTATCAAGACTCTGCACAGGAACCATCTGCTACCTGTTAGACAACTTACCCCAAGCAGTAACCCTGTACCAAAAACATCTGTCAAAAGAATTCCTGTCATTAGGAGAAGAAATAAAGACAAGAGAGTGTTACTGTATCATCTCCTGATATAGTGTATTCAGCTACAGCTGAAGAATCAGTTGTTTCATATACTGATAGTGGGTATCGTTTCCTGTGTGGGGAAATGGTTTATGAGCATATCAGCCTGATGATGTTCATAAGGGCCAAGTTTTATGATGAAACTAAAGTCCCAGTTTCAACAAAATCTCAATATCTGATCGGTCTAATCCTGCTACAACTATAGATTAGTTAAACCCTTTGGAAGAACTGTTCTTTCCACCACAAAATCCAGAAGATATGACTATGGTTATAGAGGAAGAGCCCCACTGAGGGAGAAGTTGCAGACCCATACATGGAACCTGAGATGAGGAATGCATGACTTACTGCTGCTGAAAATCCAGCTGTATCCAGACACTCTGGATGAAAGGTGAAACCTACTGTAAAGTTAACCTAAGATTCTGCTAGTGTCTCCTCCAAAGCGCTTCTTCAGATACTTCGTAAGTGGGTATCAGGAGTGGACTGTCCAGTATTGGAAAGACCTCTATGTTGTCCTTGGGTTTTAGTAAGACATTGTGTTTATCTGTATTGATGTTTTATTATGTATTATTTTAAATGTTTTTAATTAAGTTCTTGATGGGGACCTCAAGGGTACATCTTCACTACCCGCCGTATCAGCGGGTAGCAATCGATTTATCTCGTTAAGACGCGATATATCGATCCCCGAACACGCTCACTGTCGACTCTGGAACTCCACCAGAGCGAGCGGCGGTAGCACAGTCGACGGGGGAGCCGTGGCCGTCGATCCCGCGCCGTGTGGATCCCAGGTAATTCGTTCCAAGATACTTCGACTTCAGCTACGCTATTCGCGTAGCTGAAGTTGCGTATCTTGGATCGATCCCCCCCCGAGTGTAGACCAGCCCCAAGTTTTCTGATGTAGGGGAGCGTGTACTGTCTTTTGAGGGGTTGCTCCTGAAATACCACACTCAGCCTCTAAGGGACTCACCCCTGAACTACAGCAGTAATGATGGCAGAGGCTAAGGACTCTGTTTTCCAGGTTGCCTAGGGTCCAGAGCGTAAACAGAACACAGTTGGCAACACTACTGGGAGCAATCATGAGCCAGGACTCAGAATAAAGGGTCTGACTTCACTTTCAGTGCACTGTGTTTGGAGTAAGAAGCAACAGAGGGTCCTGTGGCACCTTTAAGAGTAACAGAAGTATTGGAGCATAAGCTTTCGTGCGTGAATGCCCACTTCATCAGACGCAAGCTTATGCTCCAATACTTCTGTTAGTCTTAAAGGTGCCACAGGACCCTCTGTTGCTTTTTACAGATTCAGACTAACACAGCTACCCCTTTGTTACTTGTGTTTGGAGTGTAGCAAGAAAAGGAGCTATTCACCTGGGGAGGACCCTTCTATCCTCCACATTCCTACCGAAGGGGAAACTCTGAGCTCTTATGGAATTTCTGGGACATTGAACAGTGGCATTGTAGCAGCGACCAGAAACCCAGGAGACTGAGGAGTCACAGTGAGGCTACCAAGAGCCAGCCTAACTGCACTTTTGAATCCGGAGAGTCACAAGGATGATCCAACCATCCTTGGTGTGGATACTTATAAGAACACCCTTGTTTATTTAGTTTGATATTGTCTTTTAAGATGTAGCACTGAAATCAGTAACCACCACCCATCACAGACTGCGCCTAAAATCACTATTTGCCTAGGCACGTGCTGGGAGGGAGCAGTATAGTATATATTGGCTGTAAATGTTGGATGGGGGGTAGAATTTATGTATTATTAATTTTGTCTTTTATTATCCCATTCTGTTTTTTCCATTGTCCCCTATCCTGAATTTCCAATACCTAATAAAGTCCCTGTTACTGTTTTATCACTCTGGGAATTGATAGGGTTTTTTTTGGTGCTCTAACACTCCTGTTTATGAGATTGGGTGATGAATATTTTACAAGGGGCAGGCCTTCCATGTTCTCTGCACTAGAAGGAGTTTCCTTTGGTGGAGGAACCAGGCGGCCTGATAGGTGAACCCAGAACCCACACTCCTGAGGAGGAAAGAGAGAATGCTGCAGTCATGCCTCTAAATTGAGTTACGTATATATGCATTTGCTGTAGATGCATCCAGAAGATCTATCAAACTATCAATTCAAAGGAAGACATTTGAAACTGTATTCAATGCCAATTACTGACAGAATTTGGTATATGTATGCAGTTATATTGGTAAGAAATAGCCACGTGTTCTAAGGAGGTGTTTAAAGGTTGGTTTATTCCTGAATGTTTATGATAAGATACACATTTAAAACACAAACTTGTATAAAATGTGTTCCCACAATACTGTATAATTGACTCTCATCAAAAATAGACTACGAATATACAATAATGTCAGAAGCTTAGTATAGTAAAACGCCACTTTTCTGAACAGAAGGGGGAACCTGGAGTTTATTAGCTAAACAGGGACTCAACTAAGGAGAATGTTTCCATGCAAAAGTTGAACATACAATGAAAACACATACAATTAGAATTGAGGGAGAGGGGATCTGTTGTACATCAGTTTTGTACAGCAAACAAGTTACAGGGATAGAAAATATATTTTTTCTAACAAAGGTCTATGTATTTAATAATGCTTGATGTGAGAAAACAAGTAATTTCTTCTCGCCTGTACCCATTTATCTGACATTCATTACTTAGTAAAACTTAACATATTGGCCAACATGCAAACAAAGTAGCAAAATATATCAGAATTCCACTAAATGCACAGTCTGAATACACAGCAAATTGTATAGGTCAAAGGTATTTGCTGATTCTTTTAAGACCCTTATTGTATTTAAATTGTCTTTGTTAGGGAAATGTAGTTTTGAAACAGTTTTTTTGCTTGCCAAATCAAATTATTATAAATTGTCCTCTTTTCTTTCAATGTAACATTTCTCATCCTTTAGGTTATGATTCATGAAGAAGCTTTACTGGCAGTTTCTGGGCAGCGGTATACATGCCATGAACCTGCTCCCTGTCCATTTCTAGTTTTCCATTATAGTGGATTTGCTCAGCCATTTTCAGGTGGCTTGTTGTCTGAGGCAAGGGTGACCCCATAAACTACTGAGTCCTGACCTGCTGCCTATGAAATGTTATAGGAACTGATGCCTAATTTAAAATACTATGGAAACTGTCTCAAAGGATTCTGAGGTAAATCTGAGGAGGACCAATAGTGAGTGGCTGTATGTTGAGAATTCCCTAATGTCACAAGTTAACTCAGAGTATTTATGAGCACTGATTTGGGAAATATTAGAGGATAAATTATTATTGTTATTATTATACTGTTTTTTAAAAAATCGTTCTTATTGCACATAAAAACCTGCATTACTCATATGACAAGATAAACCATTTTCTTGCCATTTATTTTTTTGGTCTTTAGCCCTAAGTGTCGGTGGCTATACCTCTGAGCTTGCCCATACAGTACACTATTTAAAAGATCTGGATCACTTGCTGATGGTGTCCTACAGGTGATAAAATACCATATCCTTCTGATCTTATGAACTAGAAAAGTAATCACCTCTGCTTCATCAGATGGTTCTTCATATACAGGTTGTTTCATATCCTCATAGGCAGACATAATCACAGCTTGAAATAAATTGATCAAGACACAGATCATCACCAGCATAAAGGAGGCTAGGAAAAGACCACCCAGCAACCGGTTGGATGTAAAAGCAGTGTCCTTAAAAGCTGAAACACAATAGGAGAAGACAGTCTGAGCTGAATGAATCATATTATTATAATTCCATTCATGTTGGCCAAACACTAGGTAGCCAAAAGCCATGTATACAAAAAAGTACACTGCCACCACAAGTGCCATAGAACAGATTCCAGGAAGAGCTGCCAAGATGGATCTTTGTGCCAGGCGCACATCATAAAAGAATCTGGAATACCTGAGAGTTTTCAAAACTATGAGAAATGCCAAAAAGCCCATAATTATCCTCAAGGTCTGATCTACATGAGAAACTGTATGGAAAGGAATGAAATCATTTGGATTAAGTAAGTAAAACTTTACTATATCAGCCCCCATCTTAAATTTGATGACTTGCAGAAAAACAAAAAGAAAAACACTGACTTTAGACCAAAATTGATTAAGTTGGAAACATTTTTAATATACTTTGTCCTTTCTTGGCGTATGATGTGAATTTCATCCACGATATAAATGAGGAGAAAAGCAAGAACAGTTATAAACACAAAAATTTGTGTTCTGCTTTGCTGCTGGAAAATTGGGAGCGTGAAAGAATGTACTGACAAGCTTGTGTTTATGAGCCCAAAATGAGAAACTTCAAATATGACCGAGATGCTGCAAAATAAATGTACATCTGGATTAAATGTAGTTAGTTCAATAATCACAGCCCATGTCTCTTCATCAAGCCAGTTGCTATTTTGTAAAACATCCAGCCTTTTTGTTGAATTAGGCCGCTGTTCTGCAGGGAAGAAGTAAAAAGTGTATCCCCCTGGTCCATATGTGTATAATTCTCCATATGAGTAATACACCCACTGATTTCTGTTTGACTGGTATGTAAACCCTACATAGTTGCCGGTGTCACTAGTAACAGATCTGTTGGCAACCTTTGTCCAGGACCCAACATAGTCTCCTCTCTCTTCAGGGTCACTGCCATATTTATGAAGACAATGGCTTTTACTGATCACAAATTTATTTACAAAGCTGTGAGGATGGAAACATTTTTTCTCAGTACTTTTTGCCCTTACTTGCCTCATCCTTGGCAAACCTAGGATTTTGGACCAGCTGTCAGAAAGAAAAGTTGGTTGGTGATTATTGTGGATCAAAGGCAAAAAGACATTATTCACCCACAAGTAAATGTGTTCTAGTTTATCCACGTTGGAGAGCTTGAGAGAAAATTGTTTATGAATAACTTGATTGTAGTAAAAGCTGTTGGTGTTTTCTGTGGAATAGGCAATATTTAATACTAGGGTTAAAAAGACAAAGTGACTGACAATGTCCTTTAGGAAGATGAAAACTTTGCTTTTAATTTTCTCTCTTTTCCTCATGATTGTCATTTCATCCTCTTCTAAGGGCTGATACTGCTTGGTGCCTCTGAGTCTGATAATTTCATAGTGCATCTCTCTCATCTCATCTGCATCCATAGTAACTTCATCCAACCTAATCTCAAGGAAATTTTCCCTTGTTGACCAAGGGATGTTTTCACAGTACTTTGGATAAATTGTACTCAGGGCTGAGAAAAGAATGATTTTTAGGGTTTGAAGAAGAAACACACTCTCAAAAAATGAGGTTGTTGATGCTAAAAGCCACTCTAATGAAGTTTTGTAGCCATAGGACAGACCATATAATACGATGAAAAATGATGACACCCCTGCTACAACTATGACCAATATCCAAGAGACATAGACACACCACCAACAAAAAGTTATCTGTGGCCTTTTGCGAAAGAGCATGAAGGGGATGTTTAGTGGTTTTCTTTCTTTCTGAATGCTGGCATCCTTTTCTTCTGCATAATTATTACTGAAATTGGAGTTTGGCGGTTGGGTCTGTTGCGCTTTAGCCTCTGCAGTTGAAGTATCAGCTGCATTTTCCTCCTCTGCTGCAATTGCATTTGCAGCACCCTCAGAGATTATGCAATTACTCCACATTTTTGGTGTTCTTTGTTTTCTTTTCTTACCAAAATATTGCAAACTATGCGAATCATTAGCATTGGAACAGTTCTCTAGAGAATTGCTACTCACAGATTGTGTAGAAGCTTCTGCAAGGTACCATTTTTGCAGGCGTTCCTTCCAGTTCCTAAGGTTTCCAGACATGAAGGGTGAACTTTCCTTTGGGTGATTCTGAGCTGCACTACGTGGAGAAGGCTCCTTCTGTGAATACTTAAACAAGGCAGTTATAATCATTTGCACAGGGATGGTAACCAAAGCACTTTCAATTCCTATTATTACTGATATCAAATATCGTAAGTGTATTGAAACAACTTCTTTATTCTTATTGGCATTAAAGAACATAATGTTAATAAGCAGGGTACACAATAGTACTGCTAAACAGCAAGATAATCTTTGGAGTCTGTTGAAAGAGCCAGTGACAACCTGAGCAAAAACAGATAACCATATGTGACTATCTACAAGGTCATTGGCAATATTTATAAAAAAATAGTCCATTTTGGCCAAAGGTACTCTTGGGTGTGTAACAACAAATGACCTTTCTAGTAAGCGATCGTCCTTATCAAGAGCAAGCCATTTCCTGCAAATAAACAGCCAGAATTCTTTAGTATACATATTTTCAACTTTTACTCTACTTAAGAACCAGTCAGGAGAAGAACCTCCGTTATTGTGCCAGACCCTAAGGGAATAAATGTCTCCTAAATCATTCTTGGTAGTTAGCAGAAAAGTATCAATGCCTCCTCGAATGAATGACGGATAATTCGGGTGCAGTAAGTGATGCACGTCACTGGTGCCATTTTGGCCTATGAGTTGGAGAAAAACATCTGCTGTGGTTCCAGCTCCCAAGCGACTGCCTGTGTATAAAGTGACCAAGTAGCACACTTTATCAAAGGGGTCATTGTCTTGCAGGACTATAACTTTGTCCCTGCTAACTTTATCAGTCCGGTCTTTTCTCAGGGCCCAGAGAGCCAGGAGAAAATAGACTAAAAAAATGAAAAGCACTGTTAAGAGGGTCACTGCGTTTTTGTGTATTTTTGCAAAAAGGGATTTTTCCAGATCCACTGGGTTGGGGATCACAAATACTTTGGAGGCCAAGAACTTGATATTGAATTTGGGGGGACTGGGTATGGTGCGGCTTGCTGTTCTCTTGGTGCGCTGCTTCACCTTGCAGATGCAATGTATCCTTTGCCAGCTAGTAAGAGGGCCAAGAACACATGTACCTTCTTTCCACTGACTCTGCACTCCATCTAGGTCTAAGCAGGCAGCATTAAAAAGGGATATGCTTACCAATCTGTTGTTTCTGTACCTTACAATAGATTGTGATTGCAAGATAATGGAGATGTTCCATTTATCTGTCCCGCTGCCTGGGGCTGTGGCCCTCAGCAGTGACTGTGGGAGACAGAAAACATAAGGAGCCTTAATCGCACAATCTATGTTATTTGACTTATTCCCACTTGCAACTGCAGGCTCATTGTGAGAAGCAAAAAAAGAAACTATAGGAGAGGTGTGGGTGACATTAACACCTAAGTATATAAATACCTTGAAAGAAACTTTTAATTTAGTCAAAATCTGGATAAATACATCCTTGGAGTTTCTGTCCACTGCAAAACTAAATCCTCCAGTTGTTTTTGGGAGGGTTTTATCAGGCCCTATTGTCAATTTAAAAGTGGCAGACTTCTTGTCTTTTCTAGCAATAATCACTTCTGCTATTGCAGGCATGATCCCTATTATGTCACCATTCACCTTGGTTCCTGTCATTTTGAACCCAGTGACTGTTGTTACAATATCTGACCTATATGCCAACCAAGGGAAGGGGTTCTCTTCAAACTCATAAAATACAGTAGAAATCACAGCATCTATTGGCAATTCCGAATGATCCCCCTGCTTCAGTGTTGGATAAAAGCAATTCTTGCAGTCTTTTTTGGCGGAGAAAGTATTTGTGACATCCCACTTTTCATCTTTCTTTAAATTAATGTTCCAGCTTTTGGCCTCCATTACAGTTTCATTTTCTCCAGGGACTTTGCCTTGTAAAACTATTTCTGCTAAAGTCTCCATGACGGAGAAGGTTTGTTTAACTGCATGCACATTGACATTGCTGAGGTCTAAAAGAGAAGCTTTCAGGACATTGGACAGGCCTGTTAGTATACCAGTGCTCAGAAGCTCTGCTTGTTCAGACCCAAGGCTTTTATCCCTGAACCCTTTTAGTGCTTCACTCACTTCTTTCAATTTTTGAATGGCAAGCTGTTGTGACGCTCTATTTACTTCAGTGACTTCCTGTGTTAATTCCGAAATACAAGCAACTACTTGATTTACTTCCATTACGTTGGCAGTAGGAATACTCAAAGACTGATTAAGAAGGCTTTCCCTAAATTCAGCCTTAGACACCTGGATAGTTGGTGCAGTTTTAATATCATTTAAAATTGAGGCAACCATATAAACCAAATATCCTACATTTAAATAATCTCTAATTTGAAGCAACGCTGTCATTGGTGCACTTGATCCACTGGTTAAAGCAAGCAGTTCGTTAAGCATAATATCTGTCGGTCTACTTTTGGCTGGATCCTGCACTGTTGTGTGTAAAGTTACTTGGGAAAATGCCCCAAGGGAATCATACACTTGAACATAGATTGTCAAAGTATACTTCTTAGATGGTACACCAATGGGGAGAAAAGATGGAGGAGTTTTAGGCTGATAGCCAAAATACACTATTGTCCCCAATGTATTCTCCTCTAAAGAAGTTATTCTACTGCTTTTCAATAAATCTGAGGCTGCTATTACTTTATATGTAAGAGGTAAATTTTTATCTGAAAATCCACTACACTGAACAATGAATTTTGTCAGGAATGCAACACCGCTGGTTGGACTGACAGTACACTTTCCAATCCTAGGTGGAGAATTTACATAAAATGAGTGCCTGGAGGTTGATGACCTACCACCCCAAGTGGTTATTTTTAGGAGAAGAGTGTATGACCGGTCTGCAATATTCATAAAAGTTAAAGCATGTATAGACAGGTATGCACTAGACTTCCCTGTTGAAGTTTTGGAAGCCCAATCAAATTTAACTTCAGTGAAACTTGCTGAAAAAAGTGACCAGTGATAGACTGGTCGACTAGTCATTCTACAGTTTAGGCATTTTCCAGACAATGTAAATCTATCTGTTGGAATTAGAATTTTACCACAATTTTCAATGCATATAACATTCAGAACAGGTGGAGATCCAGGCCTCACGCTTACAGTTTGGTCAGCATAACTCTTTCTGTTATCCTTTTGAATGACCAAACGAAAATGGTACACAGTATTTCCTTGAAGGGTTTCTGGCAAAACAGTCTGAGTAGGACCAGAAAACTTTATCCATTTCAAATCTACCTGGTTTGGATGACAGGTCCCATTTGTACTCACTGTCATGTTTGCATAATCTGATACACGTTTTGTACAGTACCAAGTAAATGTGAGCCCCTCTAATCGGTCCACTGAATCAGGATCAGAGGAAGTAGATCCATCCAGAGTCCAATGATCAGAAAACCCCACTGTCCGGAAGGTGCCTCCAGCAATGACTGCCACCAGGTCACTCTTCTCGACCTGAACAAAAACTGTATCTGAGCCTTCCAAAACACCCTCAGATGCAATTATTTTAACAGAGAAATTAAACAGATACAAGCCATAATCTAAACTAAAGCTGGGAATTGGTAAAATGAGCATCTGTCTTCTCCAGATGAGGGGTGGATTTAAAGGTTTTGTCCAGTCTGGAATAGTCGTGACATTTTGAACACCATAGATTTTCCAGATTGCTTCTGTACGTACAAGATCCGTGCAGTTAACTTGCAATTTGGCATACAGGCTAAGTTGTAACCCTTTTTTAGTACGTATGATGGGGTAAACAAGATCAGGCTTCTGGATTCTCAAACGCTCTATGAAACAAGGTTTTTTCTGACAAGACACCAGTGACTCCATGACCTTTGAAGCATAAGTGTTGACTGTGACTTTTAAAACAGCAGGTGTAAGTCCACTTCTGGTACAATTCACTTTTGCCACAAACCCTGTGTATAGGGCAGGATTAAAAGGTAAAACAGAGCGACGGACAAAGCGGGCTGCATTTCTGACATGATCATCATAAGTATAAGTATTGTTCTGGATGACGTACTCTTTTCTTGACCCAAACAGCTGCAGGTTGAAGGTCCACTCACACTGCAGCATCGGATGTTGCACAGGAATAAACCACACAATGTAGATCAAACTCCGCAAAAAAGAAGGACCACTGTTGAAAATGTGGACTTCTATATCTCTGTCCACTAGAGACCTAAACAGGGCTCCTTTCCGGTTCAGATACAAGTGCATGTTGAACTTGTACCATTGCAACCTCACAAACTCAATCGTGAGCAAGAAGGAAAGGCTCTGCTGCTGGAAGAATATATAATGGGTGTTGAAACCATCATCAGGGGCACTGGCATTGTTTGCTTGGGTGGTGTAATAAAGTCCATGGTTGCGGCTAAAAATGTAAGTGCCAGTCTTGGTCTTCTGGGCATTAAGGGTGAGGTAGGTGGGAGTTTCACTGTTCACTGTCAGGCCCAGCGTAGCATTGGAGAAACTCAGCTCCCCTGCTAGATCCCCAAACCATTCTCCATCAACATGGAAGTAGATGCTGGCCAGCGCCATTTCACTAGCCTGCCGGGGCATGGAGTCAGCACAGAAGTTGCTCCGCAAGGCATAAGGATTATAGGAGGCTGACCAGCCCTCCGTCCCCTGCATGTCCAGCAGCCTATATGCCAGTGTCCTGGGGCCAAGGGGCTGTAGCCTCCAGGAGAGGCTGAGGGGTTGGTAAGGAAGGCTAAACAGCTTAGAGTGGGCACTGAGGACATGCAGCAGGGCCGGCTCCACCCTCAGGGTGAGGCTGAGGCTGATCTGAGGCCCCTGCTCCATGCTGATTGAAGCAATGTAGAGACCACGGCGGGTATAGTGCACGGTCAGGCGGTAGCTGTAGTAGGAGGCACAGACCTGGTGCAATTCAGCTCTTGGGTAGGCAGCGGGTGGGAGCAGCTTGTGGTGCTGGTTGCTAGGAATGAGGAGTGCAGCAGGGCTGCCCCCGCGGCTGCTGAAGCGGTAGCGCCAGGCTGAGCTCTTGAGGCGTGCACACCAGCCCAGCTGCACGGGCTGCCACTCCAGGATGGGGGGTTGCGGGGGCCAAAGCAGGAAGAGCCGCACATCCTGCCCGGAGACCTCAATGCTCAGGTTGCGGTGCAGACACGTAGGCACGGCACACGAGGCCGACTCACACTGCACCGTGATGCGGCTTGAGGCCCAGGGTGGAGCAGGCCGCCCCCTAGCCAGGCCCGGTCCCAGCACTGCCCTGCCTGACCAGCGAGACGTGTCCTGCACCCAGGCCGAGTCCCGGTACCAGCGGCAGCGCGGTGGGGGCGGCAGTTGTGTCTCTCCCTCCTGGGCGCCTGACACTGCTCCCGGGGCCCGCGTATAGCGCAGCTCGATGGGCCCATCCCACAGGCACGAGGCCCAGACCTCGCTGTCCTGGCGCCGATAGACGCGTCCGTGCGGGCCCGAGCAGGTGACCCGCAGTGGCGGGAGCTGGAAGCGCGGGGGGCCCGCAGCCGCCCGGCACGGGGGGCCGCAGCAGCCCAGGAGCTGCAGGAGGAGGCCGCGGAGCAGCAGCGGAGGCATGGCGGTGGCGGGCCCAGGGGTGGTCCCTGGCCCGGGAACAGACATCTCCCAACGGCTCCAACTGCCACGGAGCAGCCGCTGCGCAGCCCGGAATTCCCCGCGCCCCGGCACGGCCGGGAGCCCCCGATCTCCCCATTGCCCCGGTGCGGCCCTATCCCGCCCCCGCGTTTTATGTGGCGCCCAAATTCCTCCCTTCCCTGGTCTGGGGCGCCGGGCCGGGCCGGGCCGGGCCGGGCTCTCCCGCAGCCGGCTGGGGCGCGGCGCTCTGACCTCCAGGGGCCGCTACCCGCTCAGCGGAGCCCGATCCACCCGTGCCCCGCCCCCCGGGGAGGTGTCTCCCTGCTGGGGGCGGGCCCGGCGCAGCCCGAGGGGCAGAGAAGGGGCCGGGAACATGGTGCCGCTGAGAGACTGCAAGGTGAGGGGGGAGCCGCCGCCGCCGCCGCCGCCCTGGGGCCCGCGCGCTGCGATGTGGGGGGGTCTCTTCCTACCAGGTGCAGTTCGTGGGGCAGGTTGGTTGGTCGCCCCCCCAACAAACACAACAACCTGCCCCCGCACCCACAGTGACATGGGGCTGGACGGGACCTGGAGCGGCGGCTTCGTCCGGTTCCAGGCGCGGGCAGCGCCAAGTGACCCTTGAGCCTCCCGACAGGCGATTGTCCCGCCTGTTCTGAAATACCATGAATACAAGCGGCCGTTTGCTTTCCGCAATCACGGAGGGTTTTGTGGTGGTGACTTACCCCATGGCTCCTGGGTCCCAGCCCCAATTCTGCCCCAGCCTGCCTTTTGCAAGCCCTTCACTTCTCCCTGCCTCAGGCTCCCTGGCTTAAAGTGGGGGATAACAGACAGTGCATCTGTCTCACAGGGATGCCAGACACGCAAGGGGGGGGTGAAGTAATATCTTTCAGTGGACAGACCTCTGGTGGTGAAAGAGGCAAGCTGTCCAGCTACATCGGGGTGGACAAACTACAGCCCGCCAGCCAGATCCGGCCCGCAAGCTCCCACTGGAGAGCAGTGTCTGGGACTTGCCCCACTCTGACGCTCCAGCTAGGGCGCAGGGTCGGGGGCCGCTCCACGCGGCTCCCAGAAGCTGTGGCATGGCCCCGCTCTGGCTCCTATGCACTCCAATGGCCCCATCCGGTGCTCCAATGGGAACTGCAGGGACGGTGCCTGCAGATGGGGCAGCGCGCAGAGCCGCCTGGCCGCGCTTCCAGGTAGGAGCCAGAGAAGGGACTTGCTGCTGCTTCTGGGAGCCGCTTGCGGTAAGCGCCGCTCGGAGCCTGCACCCCTGAGCCTCTCCCCATGCCCCAACCCCCTGCCCCAGCCCTGATCCGCCTCCCACCCTCTGAACCCCTCAGCCCCAGCCCAGAGCACCCTCCTGCACCCCAAACTCCTAATCCCCATCCCAGAGCCTGCACCCCCCCACCAGAGCCCTCACCCCCTCCTGCACCTCAACCCCAATTTTGTGAGCATTCATGACCCACCATACAATTTCTATTCTGTAGCTCAAAAGCTTGTATGTTTCATCAGTAGAAGTTGGTCCAATAAAAGATATTACCTCAGCCACCTTGTCTGGCTAATTTTCTGGGGCCAACATGGCTACAACATTGCAAACAATCACAGGGATGCTGTATTGCTACTTGTGTGTGTGAAATGTTTTGAGACATTTGGGTGAAAAATTTTGTGTGTGTCCTGTTCAGCTGGCTTTGGGGTGGTGGTGGTGGGGGGGAATGTTAATGATCAAGCACAATATCTATAATGGGAAATGGGGGAGAGTGAAACAGGCTAAAGTTTTCAGCATATAGTGGAAAGCTGGAAAGGGAGAGGAGGCTCAGACCCCTTTCCCTATTTGCACTATTGCTCCATACGAAGTTTATAGCTGGCAATACAACTTATAGCAGTTCTACTGGTCTCTGCTTCTCCTCATAAGCACTGTCCACACCATCCTGCTTTCTAAAAAGCTTCCTGCCATTGCTAACACAGTGCAGGCAAAGCACAAAGAGGTCTACATAACAGGATAGATATAATGCTGTCTGCCAAGGGCACCTTTTCTACTCCAGTATTCCAATGCTTGGTACCACCTGTGGAGTTAGGGTGACCAGATGTCCCAATTTTATAGGGACAGTCCCGATTTTGGGGTCTTTTTCTTATATAAGCTCCTATTACCCCCCCGCCCCCCATCCCAATTTTTCACATTTGTTGTCTGGTCACCCTATGTGGAGTTAGCATCAGAAGCAGTGGAATATTTTTCAGAAACAAGGCTAGTCCAGGCAAAGTCTTACTATCAATGTGTATACAGAGTTATACAGCCTACCTACCTCTTTTCCTTTCTTTATTGCTGGTGTTTTTTGCCATATTTCTGTACATAGTACAAATATTAAACAAAAGATGTAAATTTGGATTCCAGTATAGTCTTTTTAGACCTGTAATTTGAGCACTCAGTTTACTTAAATTACTTGCATGTGACCTTTAATCCAATCACACCGAGGAAACCCTGAAATTGTTAATTAAAATAGATGTTTCTGCCAATTGCTTCAAATTTCCACACTTGAGTTAATGGTTAGAATCAGAAAATATTTTAGACTGTAAAATGAGGCTAGGTAAAAAACGGCAAAATATATAAGGAATATTCTTCCATTAGCAGGAGAATCTATTAAATGGCTCCAGGTCTTTCCATCTGTATTTTCTGTAAATTCTATGTAATGGAAGAAAAATTGAGTTTGACTGTAGTTATTTGTGGAGCTCTTAAAGTGTGCCTAGCATTATACAATGCATAATATGTGTTAACTTGAGTCTCTGCCCATAGAAGTTTGTAGTCTTAATAGCACTAGTGATAACAGTGTAGAAAGAGAGAGTGGGAAGTGGTCTGTGTATTTAGATAGCTTTTTGGATACAAAGTTAAAAAATGTCATTTAGGTGGCAAAGTGAAGCACTTGAAAGTTAGGAAATGAGATTTAAGGTTTCCCATCCAACCTTCATCCCACCTCTTCGTGCATCCATCCCGTTGAAAAGAAATATTATGTAATTAAAGACTGTATGTATATGCGCAAGGGAGCAGAATTACGGTTGCATGGGCAATCTGATAGCAAATTAGGAATTATCATTAGATTTTTCATTTGACTATTGGGATTGTTTTAGGAATACCACTAAGGACATTCATGACCAGTTCACCACAGCCAATCACCCTATTACAGTGGTTCCCGAACTTTAACAACCTCTGAACCGCTTTCACTAAAATGTCAAGTCTCGCGAACCCCCTCCTAAAAATGAATATTTCCAGAGATTTTCTCCTTTACCAGAGTATAAATTTAAAAATTTCCAGTGATCATGAAAATAGAAAATTTGTTTTTATGACATGCTTATTACACACTATTTATTATTTATCATTATAGTATTTTTATTACATTATGAAAATGGCAACACTCTTCCCAGATCTCACTTTCGTAGCTTGTATCAAGGAGCTTATGTTTCATCAAGGAGTATCAGATGTGAAACAGCATGAAGGTATTTAAGAAGCCAACTCAAAGAATTCCTCCTACCCAAGCAGTGAGGTCTTGAGCAGTCCATGCAAACAACGCATGTTACAACAAAGCTTAAACTTGTTCTTCATAATAATTTTAAAAACAATACTAGCTGCCTATTTAATTTTAAAAACAGCAAAAAATATCCACCTCCCTCTCCATTTCTTATAAGGAGTCTTGAAGTTTAAATCTCCTCAATGTGATAGACATGCTTGCTTTGATCTGCTTAGCTCTTGGAAGTCCTGGGGCTCCGGGCTGCTGGCCCCCATGCTGCTCGGGGTGCCTAGGAACAGCGTCTGGCCGCCATTAGGTAATTTTTCCCCGAGAACCCCCTATAACCATTTTGCGAACCCCCAGGAGTTCACGAACCCCAGTTGGGAACCACTGCCCTATATAGTAAACATACAT